TGCGTGTTTGTGAAAACGAGCTACTCGGCCCGCGGGAGCGTGGGGGTGCTGAGCTACGAGTCCGATGCCTTCACCCTGGCCATCATGTTCTCCAACCCCTTCGACCGCGTCCTCTACAACTCGGAGTTTGCCATCGAGCTCTTCGCGGGCAGGAAGCACTTTGAGAGCATGGAGCGTCTCTACCAGTATATGTACAACCACCACCCACCCTATAAGTGTGAGTCCTTCGGGAGAGTGGAGCTCAAGGTGCCGGATTACCAGCTAGACGTGACCACCCAGGGGATCCAGGCAAAAGCCACTATGTCCAATGCGGATAAGGCCATCATTAAAGTGGAGATTGAAGCAAAAGATGATCACACAGACAACCCGAACTACCCAGGGAAATGGCCCATGTGATAGACCAGCGTGGCAACTAGTGACTCCCAGCCTGAGCAGACAGTGATGTGCTAACTCTGCACAAGTGAGTGCACTAAAAATAGCCAGAGCCATGTGGGTGCCCATGCCACAGTGCCCATGCTGCTGCTTTTAGTGCACTGGTACATGTCTGTCTATCAATGTTCCCTCCATTTTTTAACATCCACGTGAGGAATAAAAGTTGTTGTGTGCAGCGAGGCAGGTGCACATGTGCACCATCAGTAGAAACATAAACCTAGCTGTGGGTGCTCTGCTAATCAGCTGGGTGGCACCTGAATCTCTCCGGGGTAATCTTTCAGTGCACAGCTTCCAGGGAAGCTGCATAATCTACTGTCTACCCAGGCTGGGAAGTCTCCAGGCATCCAGAGGTTGTCATCATTTTTTTTCTTGCTTATATTATAATTTCAGATATAATAGGCATAATGAAACCCGCAGCTTCGGCATTGGTCATGGTTATAAGACCCCATGAAGCTTTGCAAAAAGGAATACGATAAATGGTTCTATTGAATTATTAGCAAATGACAGTGAGCTTGCTAAGTGCAAACATGTTTAAGAGTGTCACCTTGTGGTATAGCCGCATAGGTTGTTTTCGTTGCATACATGCTTGACTAAGCAATGTAAATAGCTGGTTACAGATTGCAATGGAAACAACAAGAAAGGCTAAGTACATGAGATCAGATCCTAAGAATGAAAGAATGACCCTACTAGGTTGGCCCAATGGTCTGCCTAGTGCAGTGTCACATGCGTGAGAGGGAATGAACCGAACAGGGCAGCTTTGAGTGAGCCATCTCCTGTTGTCTAGTCCAGGGGTGGGCAATAATTTTTGATGGGGAGCCACTCCAAGAATTTGGTCAGTGGTGGAGGGTATAATATTCTTCCATGGTATTAGTGGAGGAGGGGCAGGGTCTGGGATGGAGGCTGGGTGTGGAAGGGAGCTTGGGGGAAGGGATTGAAGTGCAGGAGGGGATGTGGGATCTGGGAGGAAGTTTGGGTGAAGGAGGTGGTTGTGATCAGGGCAGGGGAGGAGATGCAGGGGTTTGTGTTATGACTTCGGCAGGAGGGGCCTGTGTCCTGGGGCCAGGAGATTGGGGTGCAGGGTCTGGGAAGGGGGTATGAGTGCAGGAGGGAGGCACAGGATTTGGCTTATGTGGGGTTGGGAGACAGGAGTGGTGGGTCAGAGGGGAAGAGGGAGGGGCTTGGGTGCCAGAGTCCAGCACTGGCTGGGAGAATTCCCTGGGCGATTCCTGGCCAACAGCCCAGCAGGTTCCCTGCCCTCCATGTCCCGGCAGGCTGCTCAGAGCCTGAGGGGAGATGGGGAGGGGCACTTTGTGCACTGCCTGTTCTTCAAATAGGCAGCTCCCACAGGAGCTGCAAGATTGTTTTGGGGGTGGGGCAGTGTGCAAAACCTCTCCCACTCCTCCTCCGGGCTTGCAGCTGTTCACAGACAAACCAGCCTGCAGTCAACTTTTCTGAGCAGCCTTTGGGGGTCAGGCAGGCAAGGAGCCTGGCTGAAGCTCCCTCTGCAACACCCATGGGCTGCATCCAGCAGTGTGGCAGTCTGGATCTAGCCCACAGGCCTTATTTTGCCGGACCCTGGTCTAGTTCCACCTTCTAGCAGTCAGAGGCTTAGGGACACCAGGAGAATGGGATGTCCCTGATGATCTTGGCTAGTAGCCATTGATGGAGCTGTCCTTCAAGATCTTATCTGAGTCTTTCTTGAACCCAATTGTAATTTTGGCCTTGACAACATCCCCGGCAAAGAGTTTTACAGGTTGACTGCGTATTGCGTGAAGAAGAGCTTCCTTTTGTTTGTTTTAAGCCTGCTGCAAATTCATTTCATTGGGTGACTGCGTGTTCTTGTGTCAGGAAAAGTTAACACTTCCCTATTTGCATTCTCTGCACCATTCAAGATTGTACAGACCTCTGTCATACTCTGATGGTGCTCTGTACCCCTCCAGTCATCCCTTTCATGCTTTTGTAATAATTTATGTCAAATTTGAAAACTTACAACTCTCTGAAGAATATTCTCCTGAGAAAATAATAAAATAATAAAATCCTAGGGGTGGAAGAGACTTCAGGAGGTCATCAAGTCTGAACCCCTTCCCAAAGCAGGACCAACCCCAACTAAATCATCCCAGCTTGGGCTTTGTCAAGCCGGGACTGAAAAACCTCTAGGGATGGAGATTCCACCAACTCCCTAGGGAACCCATCCCAGTGCTTCCCCACCTACCTAGGGAAACCGTTTTTCCTAATATCCAATCTAGACCTCCCCCACTGTAACTTGAGACCATTGCTCCTTGTTCTGCCATCTGCCACCTCTCCCATCCTCTTTGGAACCCCCTTCAGGTAGTTAAAGGCTGCTATCAAATCCCCCCTCACTCTTCTCTTTTGCAGACTAAATAAGACCAAATCCCTCAGCCTTTCCTCGTAGGTCATGTTGTCCTCTTCTGGATGCTCTCCAATGTGTCCACATCCTTTCTGAAATGGGAGGCCCAGAACTGGACACAATACTCCAGAAATATGTGTAGCAACACTGGAGTCCTTTGCAGGGTGTTCATAAGACATACTTGAAGTCTGGGAAGTGACCACAAAAATCTACATCTGACAAAGGCTGGCATTCCCACTCCCACTGACTTTTTGTTTCCTGAACCTCCCCTGAGATGGTTCTCAAAGAAGGGAAAGGACAATAAGAAGGAAGGGCAGATGCCGCAAATAATTTCTCCCCTTCTCTCTGCCAATGGCACCCACAACACCCGGAGAACATAGAAGGCACCATTGGACCAGGGAGGGATCCTGGCTGCGATAAGAGAGGCCTTGCTTTGATTTCATCAGCTTGTGATAAGTTTGCTGTTAGCTGCATTTTACTTTTATTTTTCTTGTAACCAATTCTGATTTGTATGTCTCATTATTTGTACTCGCTTTAAGTCCATTCTTTTGTAGTTAATAAACTTGTTTTATTGTTTTATCTAAATCAGTGGATTTGAATGTTTGGGGGAAACTCCGTTTGGGGTACCAGGATTCTATGCCTGCCATTTTCTATTAATAAATGCTGGAATTCATCGGAGCTTGTCTTGTCCGGGAGAGAGCTTGGCAGAACAAGAACCTCCTCTCAGGGGAAAGTCTGGTGTCCCTCTGCAGTGTAATTCAAGAGTGGCTGTTGGCAGCACTCATACGTGGGCAGTGTAATAGGACCCCCAGATTAGAGAGCCGAGGGGACACGGCTGTTCATCTGTCCAGATCCTGGATGTGTCACAATCTCCCCTTAATTGTATCTTTTCTAAGACGAACGGCCACATCTCCTTCATGTTTCCTACTAGGAAACTGTTCCATAAGCCTGATCATGTTCATTGCCTTTCTTTGCCCCTTTCCCAATTCTAATGTATCTTTTTTGAGATGGGGCTACCAGAGCGGCCCACAGTATTCGGTGGGGGGGGGGGGCGCCGGACCCGGGGATACCAGGG